TGGTCAAGAAGGCTCACCAGCGCCTCTTCTTCTTGAGGAGTCTGAGGAAGAACCACCTGTCCTCAGACATCCTGGTGAACTTCTATCGCTGTACCATCGAGAGCATCCTGACCAACTGTATAACAGTCTGGTATGGGAACTGCTCTGCCTCGGACCGGAAGGCGTTGCAGAGGGTTGTGAAAACTCCCCAGCGCATCGCTGGAGCACCACTTCCTGCCATAAAAGACATATACAGGAAGCGGTGTCTGAAAAAGGCTGGGAAAATCATCAAAGACCCCAGTCACCCATCACATGGACTCTTCACCCTCCTGCCCTCTGGGAGGCGCTACAGGAGCCTCCGGACTAAGACCACCAGGTACCGGAACAGCTTCTTCCCCACAGCGGTCAGACTCCTGAACTCTGCCTCCTGTCATCTGACCCACATTAAACTCATGGACTGGACATACACACACCCACAACCACCTACACACACAATGGACAACCGTACCCTCAAACACACAATAATAACATGGACTGAACCACCACTCACAACCACTAGCACTTTATAGCCTCTGTAGAAATTATCCACATATCTCACTTATCTTAACTGCACTACTGTATAGTCCTGTGTAAATAATCATTCTGTACATTATAATAATTTTTAATCCTACAACTGTTTATAACTTGCATAGTTCACATTTCTGTATAACTGTATATCTCAGATTTCTGTATAGTTTTTTTATTTCATATTTATATCCTGTTCATAACCTGTACATAGCTTGTGCTCACTACAGCCTGTACATACTTATAGTTATAGCATATTCATAACATACTTCATACCGTGTACATTATAACATACCATAATAGACCCCTTTCTGTAACATACTTACATATCTATATTATTGCTAATATATATTGTAATATATCTATATCACTAAAGCACTTCTGGATGGATGCAAACTGCATTTCGTTGCCCTGTACCTGTGCATGTGCAATGACAATAAAGTTGAATTCTATTCTATTCTAAATGTGCTAAAAACCAAACAGCAAACACATATGGGACTAATAAGAGCTGCTCTGAGCTCCTACTACTCAGTTACAACACTGATAATATTCTGCCATCTGGACTTGAGGCTGAGCCATTAGTTAAAGTCAAATAATCCCTAAAGAAAATTGCTGATCTGCCACATTTTTTTCCGCTTATCTAGAGCCGGGTTGCAGGGGCAGCAGCCTAAGGAGAGAAGCCCAGAACTCCCTCTCCCTCGCCACCTCCTCCAGTTCCTCCTCCGGGGAACACCAAGGCGTTCCCAAGGCCAACCGAGAGATATTATCCCTTCAGCATGTCCTGGGTCTTGCTCAGGCCTCCACCCAGTGGGCTATTCTCAGAAAACCCCAATGTACAGGCAGCAAGCTGAGGGGATGCTAAGATACCCAACCTGGCCCGCCACCTCTCCTGACTGTATCAGTACTCTATTTTCTTTGAATTGTTGCCTTTTTGTGGTGGAGGTGTGTCACAGGGATTCCAGGGGCTATGTTGTTGTGGGCTTTTTGTCTCTTTGTTAGGGTCTGCTGTAACAAATGGGTCCTGGGTGAGGGACCAGAGAAAGAGCAATTCAACAACTCTTATGAACAGAGGTCCATGTGGCCTGGCTGGGCATAGCCCAAAAAAGAGACACACTTTTGTAGGCCCGGCACCCACACGAGGAGCTGTAGGGGTTAGGTATAGCTGTGGGGGCGTGGCCAGGAGCGGAGACCCTGGTCGACCCATCCCTGGCTATCGAGACTACCAAGTTCATCTTTGACACAATAAGATAAATCCAATACATCTCACATCTTTCTCTTAAGTACGTGTTCCAGTTTCAGCTGCTGACTTTTTGGGGCAGGTCAACCATGTTTGTTGCAGATTTAGATTTATATGAAATTCTCCTTGAAATGTCTCTCTATTTACACGTTTTTTAAATCATCGTTATTTGTTTTCAATACTTCCTTTATGAAAGTCTTTACAGGATTATTTATATACTTCCAAAATATATTAAAAACAGACCTTTGACCTGACATGAAAGGGCAATGACCCACAACCCACCATAAAGAAAAAAATATTACCTCGTCTTTCTTTGACAGGTTGTTCTCGATGAGCTGATATCTGGATGATGATATGAGTGATGAGGTCATCTTCTTCACTTTCCTCTTGATCTACTGAAATGATCCAAGCTGATCAATAATACGAATTAAATATCTAAACAGAGATTTGACCCAAAACCAATGTCACAAATGTGGTATTTCACCAGATACGTACTCTTAATGTCATTAACTTTGCCTCCAGGAACACTGTGAGCAACCTTGTAGTTATTTTTGACCAGATTATATCCTTCAGTGTCCATATTCAACTACTTGCTTTCTGCCATGTCTGTCTCAAAGTGATGCTGAAAAACTAGATTACCGTAATGCACTAAGTGTATCTGTGTCAGTCAACTTTTACACTCACTATGTGCTTAAACTCCACATTTAAATATTTGCCATTATGAATCTTTGGCTCTCTTCTACAAGATGTCTCTGTCCTGTCTTCCTCCCCTCATGCCAACCAATCACGGCAGATGGCTGCCCCTCCCTGAGCCTGATTCTGCTGGAGGTTCCTTTCTGATAAAAGGGAGATTTTCCTCCCCACTTTCACCAAAGCTCTTGCTCATAGGAGGTCATATGACTCTTGGGTTTTACTGTTTGGTTTTGTTTTTTTTAATTTCCATCCATCCATTTGCCTCTGCTTATCCTTTTCAGGGTCACGGGGGAGCCTATCCCAGCTGTCTTAGGGTGAGAGGCAGGGTACACCCTGGACAGGTCAGCAGTTTGGCGCAGGGCTAACACACAGGGACAGAAAACAATTCTCACTCACATTCACTCACGTATTCACACCAATGTGCAATTTAGATTTTTCAATTAACCTATTCCCACCATTTTTATTTGTTTTCTTTAATGATCATAATGAATGTGAAATTTATTCTACTAAACAAACTCAGACATGAAAGATCAGGAAGTCTGAGTCTCACCTTCAGGTTTCCTGTGAACACATCGTCTCACCAGCAGAACCAGTAACACCAGTAGAACCACAACACATACTGATCCAACACATGAAAACACAGCGAGAAGAGGAGGAGAGAGTGATGGAGGAACAGTGATGGAGGTAGAATCAGGAGGAGAGGTGGAACCAGGAGGAGGTGTGGATGTAGGTGGAGGTGTGGTGGTGTGTTCGTCTAAAATAAAGCAAACACAGTCATTAAGTTGTCGTCACATTGTGAATGTTGAAAGCTGCAGAAACACAGACAGGTGAGTGTGTCACCTGTGACAGTGATCCAGCTGGATGGAGACTCTCCATGACCACTGATGTCACACTTGTAGAGGCCTTCATCAGACCTGGAAACATGCTGGATGGTCATGTGACCTGTAGGCTGCTTCCTGATGAGGGAGCCATCTTTATAGAAAGCAGCTGGGAGGTTGGAGGGAGTGGTCTTTGTTTTACAGAGCAGAGTGACGTCATCTCCCTCCATCACAGGGAGGACAGGACTCTGCAGGATCACTGATCCACCTCAACACAGAGACAAACTACAGCATTTCATCCATTTACACACAGCTTCATCAACACTAACTCCACACACTCAGCTTACCAGTGACTGTCAGGTTAACCATGTTACTGATGGGACCCTCTCTGGACTCACACCAGTAAACTCCACTGTCATGAGACATCACAGTGATGTTACAGGAAGAACCAGCTGGTTTTCCCCACCCATGTGTTCCACACTGAGTCCTCTGTTGTTTGCTTGTGTTTCTCCTCAGAGTCCATCCAGCAGAGCTGTCGTCCTCCTCACAGCTCAGAGACACAAAGTCTCCTTTAAATAATTGAGAGCTGCTGGGACTCACAGTCAGACGAGCTGTGAGGGTTAAAATGAAAAACTGATCATTTCTTGTGTAGACTTTCAGCTGTCATTTGAGGGTATCCATATTCAAGTTGGATGAAGGGTTTATGAGTTTTAGCTACCTAATGTCTGCCACCGTCTTTATTGAGTGACCAAAAAAAATTAACTAGACAATGATTTATTTATTTATTCATTCATTTCATGGGCAGGTATTGCAATTCCATTATGTCATTATCAGTTAAGATATGAGGCCTTGAGTTGATTTGAGTTGTTGTGCTTGCATTTAGGAGATTTTGCTGTGGGCCTACAACATGCAGTTAAAGCGGCTCTCAATGCAGGTGAATCAAGCCACCCTTAAGCTGCAGAAGGAAAAAAAAACATAAAAACATCTGAGAAATTGCCTTCGTGAACTAAGCAATGCGAAAAGACCTGGATATCCATGGAAGACAACAGTGGTGAATGGCTGCATAATTTCAATACTGATGAGAAACAATCCTTAGTAGCCAACTGAGGGAACAATGCATTTTCTACCATTCTCTTTATATCTACCATTACAACTAAACTGCATGGAAGTAAATCCACAGGGTTCACTGAAAGGTGCATGCCACTCATGAGCCTCAAGTATAAGAAGACTCGATTCGACTTTACTAAATTAAAAAAAATCATCTAAAAAAAGTTGTAAAAACGTACTTTAGACTGATGAAACCAAGATCAACCTCTACCATAATGATCCAAAGCGTAGTGTGATGGCTTGGGAGTGCATGGGTGGCAGTGGCACTGGGAAACTAGCGTTTATTGATGATGTGACACAGGATTTACATTTATTTATCCTTATCCTTCATTTCATCAGTTTTATATGTGAGCTCCATTGTGAAGCATGAACACAATCAGGTCATATCTGTGAGCATTTCTCAGGTTTAAACTGTGACAGAAGAAGGTTACTGACCTTGGTTTGTTGTGCATCTCAGCAGTGAGATCAGAACTAAAGAGAAACGACACTCAGGTTGATTTGAGGTGAACATAAAGAACAACTCCACACAAACAGCTGACAAACACTGACATTGACACAGTGGTTTGAATTTTATTTTTGGATTTATGGGGTAGCTCACATTCTAGTGTTTTATTATTTAGTCATGAGTGCTTCTGAGTTTTGTGTCTATGTTTGCAGTTCTTAGTTCCTTGTTTGCTGATGTTAAGTCAGTCTTGTCTCTTGTGTTAGTGTTTATTTCTTTGTGCTTGTGTCTTATTGTGTTCAGCTTTTTCTTCCTCTTGTCTAGTTACTTAGCTTCGGTTCACCTGTGCCTCATTTTCACCAGCTGTGGCCTTTCTCTCTAATTGCCTCATGTTTTTATTTAAGCCCTCAGTTTTCTTCAGTTCCTGATCACCTGCAATCTGTGTGCTCTCCTGCTTGTCTGTTAGGCAGTCCATGTTAGTTGTTTTTTTCTCCCCCCAGTCAGTTAGTGCCAAAATTCCTCTGATTATGTTTTGTTTAAAGAAAACACATTTTCACATGAGTCTTTCTGCCCAGTTCTGGATTTGGCTCATTTGGCTCACACTTTGCCTGTATCACAAATACACTAACCACTGCACCTCTCCGCTACCTGTGCTGTTAAAACTAATTTAAATAACATTTTTATACTGTTTTAATCAACATTTCTGGAGGAACTTACGGACAAGTATTTACAGAGTGTGGACTCAGCTTTTACTGTGATCATTATGTACATGCTGAGTATATACTTTACAAATTATCTACTACTTAAACGTATTCACACAGTTTGGCATCTCCATCTGCTATCCCAATTTTTATCTAAAAAGCAGCTCTTACTGTGGTCACTTATGTATGCGTTTCCTCGACTCCTGAGCAAAGATAAAGAGTCAGTTCAGACCTGCAGTTGGTCCTCGTGGTGTTTTGAACTTGAATTCAGCCTGATTTGTTTTTCATGTCTTCTCCTCCATCATCAGTTATCAGGAGAGCAGACAGTCAAAGTACAAGAATTCAAACAAACACAGAGATTCTACTTACAGAGCAGACACAGCACAGATGTTTCTTTCATCGTCCTTCTCACTCATTTGAGCTTTTTTTTCCATTTCTGTCACTGACACCAAGCAAAGCCCGCCCTCTTGCTCTGAGCACCAGCTTTCTATTGGTTCAAAGAAAGTGGTGGGGGGCTCACTTTTTTCTTTGTGATATGATGATGCTTGATAAAGTTATTTTGAAATCTAACTACAGTCACACTATAGTCCCTTTAAAAAAAAATTAACTATTGTTTTAATATGATCCAGTATTTTCTATAAACATCTTTATATAAAAATCTGAGGAATAAGGTGTCCTCTGTTCTCAGTGATCTGTAGATTGTTTGATAATCAAATCCATTTCCATGTAGTGGACGTCCCCCTCAGTGAGAGAGGCTGAAACACAGGAATCAAACCAGGGACGCTGCTGTTATGGAGCTGAACTGGAACCATTCAGACACCGAGGCACCTCTGAAAATATTTTAATTACAGGTGTCCAAAGACACACTGGTTTCCTTTTTTACAGACATATGCCAGATGCAAGGCCAAGTCGGGGGGTGGAGGCATCAGTCCGCACGACTGGCCTGAACCGGTCCTGCAAGACGCAAATACCGCAACCGATCGGATGCTTTCAGTCAGCCTGCAAGACGCCAGGCAGACCAGGGAACGACAGCTACCATCGATGGGCACCCAGCACCCGCTTCCCAAAGAGGGGCTGGCTGCCACGTTCAAGTGGTAAAACCACATAAAAGTGGTGGCTGAGGACCACGTGGCGACCACACAAAATGCGGAGAGGGAGGCCACAAGGCCCAACAAGTGGCCACCCCACGTGTTGAGTGTGCTCGCACACCCGAGGGGAGAGGGATTGCTGCCAAGGAGTAAGCCTGGCGGATGGCCTCTACAACCCTAGGGACGACTGGGACTTGGACAGGGGCCTGCCCAGGATCCTGGGATGGAACGAGACAAACAGTTGGTCCGTGGTCCAAATTGGCTGAGTACATGCAACGTACAGCGCCAGTGCTTGTAGAGGGCAAAGGGCCCAGAGACGCTGCGCCTCCTCCCAGTCCAAACCTTCTGTGGGAGCTGACCGCAGCTTAACTGACTGGGGAAGGTGGAAATCTGAGAGGACTTACGGCAAGAAGGTAGGGTTCGGCCAGAGGACCACCCCCTGACCCTCTGGCAGCCACCTGCAGCATTCACCATGGACCGACAGCGCCTGGAGCTCACTAATTTTTCTGACGATGAAGAAAGGCGGTCTTGAGCGGCAGCCGCTTCAACTCTGCTTTTTCCAGAGGCTCGAAGGTAGGGCACTGGAGGGCATGAAGGACCAGGTCCAGATCCCGGGGGGAATGGGGACCCTGGTGTACGATCTGGGCACCCCTCAAGAACCACGAAATCAAAGCAGTGTTGGCGTGGCTGAGTGCGATTGCAGCCACCAGCCCACGCAGGGTAACAGCGGCTCTGCCTGCCTCTAGCTGGGACTCCAACTGCAGCATTCAGGCCCATGAGGCGGAGACACAGGCTCCAGTTCACCCAAGAGCGGAGGCTGAAGTGGTCCAGGCACACCCTGAGGACCCGCTACCGTTCCGCTGTGAGGGACACTAAGCCCCTGACGGAGTCCAGGTACATGCCTAGAAAGGTGGTACTCTGAGGTGGTTCCAACCTGCACTTCTTGGGATTCAGGCGGAGCCCCAGAGCCTGAACATGGGAGACTAGAAGGGCAACATGGCTGCGGCACTATTCTATTGAGGAGGCGCAGACCAGCCAGTCGTCCAGGTAATTCAAGATCCTTAGGCCCCACAGCCTCATAGGAGCGAGGGCGGTGTGCACACACCTGGTAAAGGTTCGGAGTGCCAGGGAGATGCCAAAGAGGCGGGCGCGGAAATCGAAGATCTGCTCTCGGACCCGAATCTGAGGACCATCAACATCTTGCACTTCAGGGGCCGGAGATAACAATTGAGGCCCCTGTTGTCCAGAATGGGACAAAGACCCCCGTCCTGCTTGGCGACCAGTAAGTAGTGGGAGAAAAACCCCACTTTGCGGTCCCCAACGTCCACCTCCTGTATGGCCCCCTTTGCCAGAAGCATCACCAGTTCCTCCTGCAGCACCAGGGCCTGCTTCGGGTTGCTCACGGGGTTAAAGGTTGGGACATTATGTTACAGGGGGTCTGCAGCAAAACTGCAGGCGATAACCCTGGGTCATAGTGGAAACCACCCACGGGTCCGCCCCCAGGGCTGACCAGGCCACCCTGCGCTGCTCTGTGGATAGGGCTGGGTCGCCTGGCTCCAAGAGATGTCAGGAGGGAGGGGGTGGCTGGAGGACTGAGAGACTCCACATCCTCCCTGCCTGCCCTGGGCGTGACTGCCGCATCTACGAAAGGCTTCCAGCTAGGGTGGAAGAGCTCCAGGGTCTCTAGCTGGGGCAGGTTGAGGCACAGAAGCCCTGGGCCTCCCCACCCTGTCCAAACTCCTGCTCAGGCCTCATGAAACCTACTAAGCAGTGCCGTGAGTCTCTGTAGCCTGCTGCAGGAGCCAGGCCGCACCTTGGTCGAACATGGCTGAAGGGTCAACCGACAGTCTCATAAGGCAGTCCCGGTCGCCCGACATGGAGCCAGGACTGAGACAGCCACAGATGGCGGCGTGCTACCCAGAACAAGCCTAAAGTGCAGCCCATAGCAGTGGCCTGCTCTTTCATAAGCGAGGCTAGGTGAGAGGAGGCAGACAGCAGCTCCCCTACGCCCGAAAGGGCAACCAGAGGGTTCAGGGGCAGATCCACCAGGTGCCACAGTCAATCTGCTCTTGGCCATGCAGAGCAGCAAACCGCTTACAGGCAGGGGACCAATGATGCAGGGCTGTAGGGGATCAAACTGCCTGCATACCAGGTCCTGAAAATCAAGAAGCAGTGGCACCTGCAAGAGGTGGCGCTGAGGCTGCGTGACATCATCAAACATAGAGGGTACTTAGACGGGTTATGCTTAAATCTAATGGGAGGTTG